CTGTTTTGGCCTTTAGTAATTTCTCTTAATCTACTATAGAAATGTCTTTCAACCCATTTGTAAAACACTGGCGCTGTTGTTTGTAGTGTGCCCGCCCTGGAGCAGAACCACAGCCTTGAAAGGGCTTGGATTCAGACAATCAATCCTCAAATTACAAACCTGATGTAATTACAATAATATCCATAATATTTATCTACTCCCTCAAAACCAAAACGTTTTCATCTGGATTTAAACCATCCACTAACCTGCAGCGGTTAGCGATACTGCTGCACCTGTGATGGGCTGCCTCCTTAAGTCAATCTGTGTTATTTTGATCATTTATTCTGGTTTTAGTATTGGTCCGATAAACTCATACTCGTAGTGATAAGTGTGCCTATTCAGCGACACAGTATTCTGGAACTGTTATTATTATATTTGCTAGACTTGGTGCAGAAGAGATAACGGATTACAAACATGAATTCAAATTTTGTTTTAACAATGGACCAACTCTGTCATTGACGTTGCTGATGTACTCTCCTTTCTCTCCTCTCTTCAGGTTTGTTAGTGACACTCTCCTCCTAGAGGAGATGATGTCAGACCCTCTGCTGCATCACTACAGTGTGGTGGTCTTGGACGAGCTCCAGGAGCGGACGGTACCCACCGACGTGCTGCTGGGTCTGCTGTGTGACGTCTGCCGTCAGAGGCCGGACAATTTCAGGGTGGTTCTGCTCACACACCCGACGCTGGCGCCTCGACTGGCCCACTTCCTGGGACCGTCGGTGCCTCACCTCAGTCTACAGGAGCAGCTCACAGACTCTGCAGCTAGTGGTGACGAGGAGGTGAAGACTGAGGAAACGGGCAGGACTGAGGAGGAGGAGAAGGAGGAGGAGGGGAGAACTGCAGAGACAATGTACAGGGAGCTTCCTGCTGGTAAAGACCCCGTGACTGCTGCCTGTCACATGGTGCTGGACCTCCACAGGAGAGGAGAAGAAGGGGACTTGATGGTGTTTCTGGCCAGTGCGCAGGTACAGTATTCACGCGTCACTCACATGGTGACGATAAGAGCAGAGAACAACATTGTGGGAATGTCATTTTCGATTTGTATAGTTCTTAACGAAGAGCAAAAATATCATGTCGTCATTATTCAGACAAAATCGTTGTAGAAATGTATGTAAAAACCTAGAACGGTGGTATGCGACGCCCCCTGTGTTTACATGTAGGTACTTCAGCTTGTTGTGGCAATTTTTGGTTGATTGGACATTCATTCATACTGTATTCTTTTCTCTCTTCAGTGTATGGAAGTAATATAGAATGGTAAATAACAAGGCAGGTGTATACGTGGTATGAGGCCGATTGTAGTATAAATCTTTTTTTTTTAGTTTTATAGTAATTATTACGGTATATAGTACCAGGTTCTTGCCTCATCTGTCTATGTTGTAGACCACCGTCCTAGAGTAACTAGAAAGACATTTAAAGACTCAGTCCAATGAGGCTCTGAAGAGTGAAAAAGACAGTGACTGCACTGTGAGGTTCAGATCGTGAAACACTTTTTTTTCAAGATCATGCTGATGATGGTCGTTTTGGACGCAGAACTAGAACGATTTGTTTTTAGGGGAGAAGCAATCAACACAAAGAACAATGAAAAGAATCAAAGTGCATAAATGTCAAATGTTCCCTGAGAACTCAAACTCATACCTAGATTTATTTATAAACCTTTGTGTGTTGGTCTTCGGCTCGAAAATTCTGTCCAAGCAAATTCACAAAGACCAAGGGAACAGAAAATGGAGTGATGTTTGATTCCCCTAACAGATAGAAAGGAAGATAGATGGAACTTTATCAGTCCCTCAGGAGTTCCCCATGGGAAATTAAGGCACAAATCCAAAATCAGAGGATCCGGCTTTGCATAAAATGACACTGCATTTGTGTCTGCTGTCTGACTCAGGGATTGTTTTTTTTTTTTTTTTTTTTTTTTTATAATCAACACCTTTTATTTACAACACAATGAAAATTGAGCCCAGTTTCACAGGTTTCAACTCCTTTAATTTTTTTTGTTAAAGGCAGAAACCAGGACACCTAGAGGATTCTGCTGCACCCACAGGTGTCTGGTGTCCTGCTTTTCAAGCACACACACACACACACACACGCACACGCGCACACACAAATTAACATTTAAACTCTTATGAGAATTAACACCCTTTGTCAACAGCACCGCACCTTTCCTTTCTGTGATTTCCCAATAACTCCTTTTGCCGTTTTTGCCCTTGATGTAACTATTTTTGGATTTAGCCTTAAACTTTGCATTTCTATGTATAGTAATTAATTTAAATAATGTAAAAATATGACTTTTTCACAAATATTGTTCCCCATATTTGCCGAAGAACTTGTTTTAAAGGGATAGGTCCAGTTGTTAGTGCGGTTGGCAGGAACAGCTGTTATTTCTAAAAAGCTTTAAAAAAAGAAAATTCTATTTGTACTTAAATCAAATTTGATTTTTTTTCTGCAGTCATTAAGTCTAGATTAACAACCTTTTCAGTTATTTCTAAAAAGTTTAAAAAAATAAAATTCTATTTTTACTTAAATCAAATTTGATTTTTTTTATCATTATTTTTTTAATATCATTAAGTCTAGATTAACAACCTTTTCAGGACAGGGCAAGGCAACAATTTACCACAGGGGGCACTAATTTGAGTGGCCTACGTGTGTCTATATTTCTCTTTCAAATCGTAGCAAAATAATTTGAATTTGGTCCCTTCCTTGAGTTGTATTGTTCAGCTATTTTTATGTCTGCTATCTGCTAACTTGTTTAAGGCTGGACTTTATAAACAAACACACATTTTCTGGTTTTGTCCTTTTTAATCATACACCTAATTATCTGAGTCCTCATTATTTAAGAATTAAATGGACAATAGACTAGACTAAAATAGAATAGGCTAGAATCGCAACACTAAACTAAACTAGGGAGCTACACTTACGCCGTTACACGGTGGATTCAGAGCCTTTATTTATTCTCTTCTGTTCTGTCTGTCTTTACAGAACATCGAGGAGTGTGTGTCTCTGCTGGAGAAAGAGTCCATGGCTCTGAGTCCTCAGCTGGGAACGCTCAGGATTCTGCCGCTTCACACAGGACTGGGAGCTCTGACTCAGAGGGTTTATGAATCTGACCCCGAATCTTCCACGGTGAAGGACAAGGACACTACAGCAGGAGACGGCAGCAGCTCAGGGTCAGGAGCAGCAAGTCCTGGAGTCAGGAGGAAGGTCATTGTTACTGACGCTCTGTCGGAGACGTCCTTCTCTCTGCCTGCCATCCGCTACGTCATAGACACCGGGCTTCAGCTCAAAACTGTGAGATACATTCATCCTGTTCTCCTGCAGAAACACGAACCCATCAGTGTTAAGATGGATCTTTCAACTGTTCTTCTTCCTCCTCCTCCTCAGGTTTACAACCCACAAATACGAGCAAACTCCCAGGTCCTGAGGACGATCAGTAAACACCAGGCCGACATCAGAGCTCAGAGAGTCAACAGCCATCTTCCTGGTAGGTCCAAGGTCCTTTTCAATGTTCTGGTTTACCATCTGGACCTTTGTTTGATTGGTTCTTCTTCATTTCCTGGCAACAGGAAGATTACATGTCCGTGTACAGTACAACCTTCTGCTCGGCTCCGTGTTAGATTCAAGACATAATCAAATATTTTATCATATTTTTTAATCATATTTTTTAAGGTGCAACATTTTAATGTTTTATCATAATTAAAATGTTGTCTTGCATTTTTTAAATGAAGTTTTTCATCATTTTAACATCATCAGTTGTGTTGTGTTTCCAAACAGTATCAAGATCAGCTTGAAATAAAATCTTGCAGGCACAGTGACCTCTAGTGTTGCACTAAAAAAATGAAATTCAATTTCCAAGTTTATTCAGTCTCACATCTTATGTTGTCCTGATCCATTCGATTCCATTGGCACCAGTATATGAAGAAGACAAAGTGTGGTACTTGATTCAGTTCTGAACCTCACACACACTAACAGACATTACACTCGCATTCTTGCATTTACACATACACTATGTGTCTGAACTTATCTAAGTGGGAATCAAATTCCCCTGCGTACCACTAGAGAGAGTCCACGGGTTACAGGCACCATAGTTTGAGAACCACTGATTTAGAGCTGGACTGTCAAGGGGCCGGAATTTAAAACCTCATCTAAGTTTTGAGCTTAACAGGATTAACGTTTCTAGAACATTCTAGTGCTGGCGATGATTTAACCAAAAATGGAGACTTTTAACATTAACTTTTTTCAATAAAATAAATAAAAATGTATTTACATCAAGCAGGGTAAGAATGTTGATTAAGTTGAAAATAATAGTTTATAAAAATTTAAAAAAAAATAAGATTGTGAGTTACCTGCCACATGATATACACACAGAATTTTGACCTATCGTGTGCACATTAGTACAGATCTTAAGACAACCATACGCACGTGAAGCTCTGGTGGCCTATATACAGTAAGTTGACATAATGGGCCAGAAGGGCCTGCGGGTCTTGAGTTTGACACATGGCTTTAGAGTGTTCAGGGAACCTGGAGAAAACTCTCACTTAATAACTTAATAACTTGCAGACAGACTATGCTGCTGCCAGATTAGAAGTTTCACTCAGGGACACTGTACTTTTGTATTTTAGCATTGGT